TCTGAATTAGGGTGAGAGAGATTAAATGTTGGTACTCACTTGTAACCTTTGAACCCTTATTGAGAAAGTGAATAGTAAAACAAATTTAACCAATTCTCTATTCTTCTAGTTTTTTCTCTTTTCCTTTGTGAAACCTAATAGGGTATTTTGTGTTTGTTCAAAAAACTCATTTTTTTCTCATAACTTTGTTTTGTTATTTACGACATCAATTCACACAACAAATTCAATGAATTGCGCTGCTGCCGCGAGATTCATTGGACCATAGCAGAAATCAATCTTCCACTCCCACCTATGATCAGTCTAGCATCTCGAGAACAAAAACGTTATGTTTCAATTTCGCTTCATACACCGCCAAGAAAAGCTCTCCAATTTTGAAATTTACCAGCTATTTGGACCACTAAAATGGAATCGAAGCACCATCTCCTAACCTGCACGAAATAGACCCCGACAGAAGAATTCCTTCTCGATCAGTATTGATGCGCATAAGATCTTTCCACCAAGTGGACTCAAAAAACAATGGTCTCCAGGATGCTTTCGAAAACAGCATGCAGGAAATATTTCCATACCGAATCCGAATAATATCAAACTATACCGCATCCTTCTCGTTGAGAAAACGCCATAACCATTTACATAATATTTCCTTGTTAAATTGAGCCACGTCTTTAATGCCTAAACCACCCTCTTCCTTAGGTAAACAAATTTGTTTCCAGCTCACCCACGAAATACCCTACTTGTACAATAAACTAAACCAGAGGAGCTTCATTTGAATAGTCTCGATCTCTTTGATCACCTTCAACGACGCTTTTAAGAAAGCAAGATGATGAATATACATGTTCATTGATACCGAGTTTATGAGCGAAATTCTACCCCCGACAGATATATTTCTTCCTTTCCAAGATGATAGTATAGTTTTGGTGCACGTAATGACCGATTGCCAAAATTCAGTTCTTCTCTGATTCCCACCAACCGACAAACCAAAAAACTTAAATGGAAAGGAATCCTTCTTACATGCCAAGAATTGTGACGCCGCATCCAAAAAAGATTCTCAATCGCCTACTCCATATAGCCTACTTTTCCAAGTGTTGATTTAAAATCTTGAAACCATCTTAAAACACCTTAGAACGACATTAATTCCCCCATAGATAAGTAATAATATTTCAATTAAAACAATGTTGTTACTTAGAATATATATAATTCAATAGTTAATTCTAACAAAGCAAGACATACAATATTACACATCTTACATTTTATATATATATTTTATTATAATTATACGGTTGAACTTGTTTTTTTTAAATATTTTTTATTTTTAAAGTTTATAAACAATAGATTTTTAGATATTTTTATTACCATTTATATAGTCTTCATAATACTTTTAATCATGAATGTTAGTTTTTAAATAACTTTTAGATATTTTTATTACCATTTATATAATCTCCATAACACTTTTAATTATGAATGTTTGTTTTTAAATAATGATTATTTATAATTTAAAATATGATTGAATATTTATTGTGTTTAACATTATTTTAAATATTTTTATTTCAATGTCCAAATCTATTTTGTTTTATACCCAAATAAAATCATTTAAATTTATAAATAAATACTAATTTATACATATCAACTTATTCGAGTTACATATTTAAATTCAAATTTAACTTATTTGATTTATTGTGAAATTTGTTCATATAATTAAATTTAATCTCAAAGTTTTCAAGTATAGTATTCTTATCTATAATTTATAATCTATATAATATATATATATATATATATATATATATATATATATATATATATATATATATATATATATATATATATATATATATATATATATTTGGTTTTTGGTGTAGCCTAATTCTTTTGCCAATTTTATATTTATTTTAAAATGTGTAATTTACACAATAACTTCTATTAAATCTCTTATTATCTTTCATATATTTTTTACTAATAATTTTTATTTAAAATTAATATTAAATAAAAATAATATCATTTATATTTTTAGATGTATGAGTTAAAAAAACGGTCTGAAGTAATTATTAAAAGAGTATCAAATTAACAAGATATTTTATTTCATAAAAGAAAAATTCAAGGACTAAAAGAAAAAATGCTTAAGGGTTTAGAAGAAAAGAAAAAGAAAAGAAAATCCCTGTCACATTTCACTAAGACAAAAGGAAGCGAAAATAGGAGAAGACAGTGGTATTTTTGAAATATGGTAATGAAAGAGGGACGTTATGCAAAAATATGAGAAATGAGGGTTGCGTTGTTGTTTTTTTCCTTTGATTCTTGATTGGATCCGTGGCGGTGGCGATCGATTCCATCGGAGTTCAGAAAATTGGATCATTAGATCGATGCTATTGCTTCTTTTTTGTATTTTCTAAAATCTGAATCGTGTTCATCGTTCATGGTCTGATCTACTGTGCTGCCGCTGCATCTACAAAGCGTGCGTGTAACTGCAATGGCATCGCCGGCACCTAATGTTGATCTCTTCGATGCTTATTTTCGACGTGCCGATTTGGATCGAGATGGCCGCATCAGCGGTGCCGAAGCCGTCTCCTTCTTCCAAGGCTCCGGTTTGCCCAAGAACGTTCTTGCACAGGTTCAATCTCTATTTCCGCATTCAATCCATTCTTAATTGATTCAATTAATAGCACTAGTGTAGTTATAGACTTGTTATACTATATATTTGTTCCTCTAAATTGCAATTACTGCAAATTCGATCCTTGCTCTACAGATTTGGGCATTTGCAAACCAAAATCAGAGCGGCTTCCTTGGTCGCGCGGAGTTCTACAATGCACTTAAACTTGTCACCGTTGCACAGAGCAAGCGGGAACTCACTCCTGAAATGGTCAAAGCTGCATTGTATGGCCCAGCTGCATCTAAGATTCCTGCTCCTCAAATCAATTTCAGTGCCACAGCTACACCTACACCTGCACCTGCACCAGGGGCTGTGCCACAGGTAAATCTTGGAGTGAGGGGGTCAGTTCCAAATCAAAACCTTCCTGCTTCACCGGTAAATCAGTCACCAAGGCCTCTGCAAAATTTTTCTGCCGCTATTCCAACTCAAGGATTGGCTGCTGTTGGAGGAGCTCGCCCTGCAAGTTCCGCTGCCTTCCCTAGTTATGGTAATATGGGCGGAGCTCCGCAACAGCCGCAAACAGCACCCTCTCAGCTACCGGTTAGAGGAACTAGTCCTACTTCAACTCAGGAGGGGTTTGGTCTTGCAATTACAACATCTGGATCAAATGTTGCACCCCCTACACCTAAACAATCTGAATATCCTTCCTCTGCCACTAAGCCAGCAGATCAAGTGGTCAAGGTTTCTAGATCCCCGGATACTTCTGTGAATGGTACTGCTTCTGATTCATTTTTTGGAGGGGATTTTTTCTCAGCCAGCTCAACTCAGCCAAAGCAAAATTCTTCTCCACAAGGATTTTCTTCTACCAATTCTCTGCTTTCATCTGCCATTGTCCCTGTATCTGGAGGGAACCAGAATTCTATTAGGACTAGTTCCCTTGATTCATTGCAGAGCTCACTTGCTACTCAGTCAGGCAGTCCACATCTTCAGCAGCCCCGTCCACATTTTCAGCAGTCCCAACCTGCGGTGAAACAGAACCAGCATACCCCGGTTCACACGCCTAATATGCTCAGTTCATCTGGACTTCAAGTGAGGGCGCAGGATCCTGCGTCAGGTCAGCCCCAATCTCCATGGCCACGAATGTCTCAGACTGATGTTCAGAAATATACGAGAGTATTCATGGAAGTAGACACCGATAGAGATGGAAAAATCACTGGGGAACAGGCGAGGAACTTGTTTCTTAGTTGGAGATTACCAAGAGGTATATTATATACTTCCTATCCTTTTGGTTGGACATCAGGAGTAAAATGATTTCTCTATTTTGCTAATTCTCTAGTGTTCTGGTTGTAACTTCTCAATGGCTAGCTAATTCGCTGATCATTATTTGTATACCATGTTTTATATTCTCCAGAGGTTTTAAAGCAGGTCTGGGATTTATCCGATCAAGATAATGATAGCATGCTTTCTCTCAGAGAATTTTGTATTGCGCTGTACCTAATGGAGCGACACAGGGAGGGACGTGCTCTTCCAGGCGTTCTTCCAAGTAGTATAGTTCTTGATTTACCTCCTACTGGTCAACCTGCCAATGTCCACAGTGCTGTATCTTGGGGAAATCCACCTGGTATGTGCCGAAGAACTATCATGCTTATTTAGATTATTATCATTCACTTGTATGGAAACAATTTTTTTCTATAATTTCTTTTCTCTTCCTCCTTCTACCTTTGAAAGGTATTCAACAACAGCAAGGGGTAGCTGCATCTGGTGCTCGACAAGTGAACACTGCTGCAGGTCGGCCACCAAGGCCGGCTGCTGTCCCTCCACCTGATGAAGGACCTCAGAACAAGCAGCAGAAATCCAAAATTCCAGTCTTGGAGAAGCATCTCATAAATCAACTGAGTTCAGATGAGCAAAATTCAATTAACTCGAAGTTCCAAGAAGCAACAGAAGCTGATAAGAAGGTAACTGTTGTATATTTATTTCTCTGCAATATTTATGCTGTGCGATAAATATGCCACATTCAATTATTTTAATTTTTTGGTACATTAGGAGGTTCTAGCACCTTCAGAAGTGGAGGGTAATAAGTGCCTTTTGTTGGGGATTGAACCTCTGACACAATCACCGTACTCAATCTTAGAAGACTTAGGCTAGTGACAGTCAAGCTATAGCCTATCAGTATCACCTCACTGGATGTCATGTTTATTTGCTTATTCTTTTGCTAACTGCAGGTAGAAGAACTTGAGAAAGAAATAGTGGAGTCGAGAGAGAAAATAGAATTCTTCCGTGCAAAAATGCAGGAACTTGTGAGTGTTTTCTGTGCTTTATACCTTCGTGCCTTGTTAAAACTCTAACCTGTTTAAGCTGTGTTCTGTTTTCTCTTTTTGGTAGTTTCTTTTCTCGATAAAACAGTGATTTGTTTACTTGTATAGTGTATCTTGATTTGTAGGCTAAAGCAGAACCATATAGATGTATTGATATAGCTAGTAATTGAAATGTAATTTGGGAGACCGATTGTTCAACATTGTGATTTATTGTACTTATGAAAGAATGGATTGTACTTATGAAAGAATGGATAATGCCAAGAACTTTCGCTCTCTGATTTTATTTATTGAGCTTTAAGGATTGCAAAATATATGTAGGCTGAAATTGTTGTTTTGCAAATATCACATATTCATTGACCAAACTAACGTTCTTACTATATAGTCTATAGACCTACTGAACACAAATACATAGACTCCTATCTTCTGATTGAGCTTCTGTTTCTTATATTAATTAATTTGGTGATAGTAAGAATGGGCTCCGGGAAAGGTCTTTTACTCAATTATTATCCATTAGGAAAATAAACTTAAGTGGTTTGGACATGTAGAGAGAAGACTTGTAGATTATGTGGTAAGGAGAGTATATCAGATAGAGAGAAGTCAAACAACTAGATGTAGAGGAAGACCCCGAAAAACTATTAGAGAAGTTATTATGAAAGATTTCAAGATTGACGAGTTGGATAGAAGCATAATCTTGGATAGAAAATTATGGCGAAAGTTGATCTATGTAGCTGACCCACTTAGTGGGATAAGGCTTGGTTGTTGTTGTAGATGTTTTGCCCCTTCTTTTAGCTTTTAGCCGCATCTTGAGATACCTACGAACTACTGGCCCAGAAGAGAAAGGCCTATGAAATAGATTTGTTCTATGGTGAACACAGGCTGGACTCCTTTGTGTACTTATGTAATAAAACCATGGATACCTAAAAGAGAAAAACATATAAAAGCCGCCATTCATGCGCTGCATGTGATTAACAATTTCATGTTAATACTTTCTTTTATTTACCCTTTTTTAAGCAAATTTCTGATTTTCTTTTTCCTGCAAAAGGTTTTGTACAAGAGCAGATGTGACAATCGTCTTAACGAGATCATCGAAAGGATATCTGCTGATAAGCATGAGGTATTTTTCTTTAGCATTGCATATATCCTTATTAGACCTATTATGTTAACTGTTATAATTGGCTCAAGTTATTAATTTCAGGTAGAGATTCTAGCAAAGAAATATGATGATAAATATAAGCAAGTTGGAGATGTATCGTCCAAGTTGACGACCGAGGAAGCCACATTCCGTGACATGCAGGTGCCATAAAATATGGCTTTTCGTGCAGTTTATAGCATGCATAGCTTATATGTTAACATGTTATGTTTTCGCATTTAGCATCACTGTATCACATTGTTTTACTGTATGTATAGGAGAAAAAAATTGAATTATATCAAGGAATTGTCAAGTTGGAACAGGATGTAAATACCGACGACACGGTACAGGTATGTTTGAATATGACCTGTCCAGCGCATCCATCTTGAGATGTTTTTTTTTTTTCATAATCAATCTACTCATGCAATTTTCAGGGACGTGCTGATCGCATCCAATCTTCCCTTGATGAACTGGTGAAATCTCTAAATGAAAGGTGCAAGCAGTATGGATTACGTGCAAAGCCCACAACACTAGTGGAGCTACCCTTTGGTAATTTCAAATTTATAATTCTTTTTATATCCTTTCAAGTGTTATCAAGTATTTTTTCATGTCTATAACTTTATTATATGATATTTGTTGCATCAGTGTTGTTGATATTTAGTTTGAGGAAGTGACCTTCTATTGCTGAACTACTGGTTTTGAATCAGCATGAAAACTTTTTGAGCCAACCCAACTTGATAAAAGTTGCCCGATCAAGTGACATTTAATTTAACACAGTTTAATAATTTTCTTGTGTAACCTTATAACTACTACTTTGTGGCACAGTTCTGTATGGGAAGGCTCTATATAATCTTATATAGCTATTTTTGCTGCTTAGCACAAATGTTTTCTCCTGGCATTATATTTGAAGAATCTATTAAAACAAAATATGATAATGGATTGCTTTTGACACTAAATTAGCCATATGGTTCTTAGTAATAGGGCCGAATGTAACGGTTATCAAATGCTGTATTAATGCATTGGTTGTATGAAAAGATATGAAACTGGAAACTGGTGGATGTTTCTGACAATAGTGTACAAACGGCACATTTGATTCGTTGCATGAGTCTACATATATTGTATTATGTGGCCTCACTCAAATTAATCCTTTAGGCTGGCAACCTGGTATCCAAGAAGGAGCTGCTGACTGGGATGAGGTTTGGGATAAGCTTGAAGATAAAGGTATTCGAAATAACAATAATTAGATTGAATATTCTATTTCTTTTAATTACTAAAAATTCAAAACAAATGATATGCACATTGTTTTGCACCAGCCATAATTTTGAGAATTTTTTGCACAAGGTTATGAAACCATATTGACGTGGCTAATTATCATTTTATCTGGAGGATTCGTTGATATATTGCTAGCATATTGCATGTCTGCATCTTCAAACTTAAATTGATTTCATTTGCATTTTTGTCTAGTGAGCTATACTTTTTTTATACTATATTATGTATTCATTTTCTACGCTTAACTGTCTGTCTAAATGTGAGAGATCAATCATTTTGATTAGTTAATATGGTTTAGATTTAGAAGATAGGATAACCCAAAATTAGGATATATTTAAGAGAAATTATGATATTTGTATGATTAAAGTTATGGATAACTGCAAATTCTATTTTTCTAGTTTGCATCCGTTCTCTTTTTGAGAATGTTTGAAACATATGAATAATTTCTTGGTTATTTATTATTCCTTTTTTCTAGCAGAATTTGCTCTTGTCACAGAATACACTCTTGATGTGCAAAACACCATAGCACCTCCAAAACAAAAATTACCAAAGGCTGTGAACACGAAAGCTTTGGATATTGAGAGTCCAAAACTTGCAGCATCACCCAAGAGTGATGATGATAAGTCAGAAAAGCCTCAGACTACAAATGAACAGGGAGTAGACAACGGATCTCCTTATAATAAAAGTGATGATGGGTCTGCAAAAAGTGCTCCTAATAGTCCATTTGCAAGCAGTACTATTGGAAGTCCGCATAGGGACTTTGTTGATTCTGACATTCGAAAGAATTCTGGTGAAGATAGCTCTCCCCGTGATCAAGATGCCGCTCAAGAAACCAATAGGTATCGTTTTTAAGATTTGCACCCAAATTTGGATTTTACTGTTCACATATATTCTCTGTTCCTTTTTGAAGGCTGTGACGATCATAATAGTTATCAATAATGGCGATTACGTGTATTACATTTTTGCTTCCATCTTGCATGTTTTGTGTGTAAGTAATTTATGTTTGGCATGGTTTAAGGGTCTCTGAGAACAATAGGATAGGAGTTTGATCTATGCTGCCTCATTTTTCTAATTTATATCTTTAGGTTAAGGTAAAGTGTTCATGTGTGTTGTACATTTTTCAACTGAAAGGGCTTTTGTCTCTAGATGCATGCATGTGCATAAGGAACCTGCTAACAACTTAGGTTCTTAATATGTAATATATTGTGCATCAAGAGAGAGTCACAATGAAGTTATCACCTCAATGGTTTGGACTTCATTTCCCCCCTCAAAGTCATAGCCGAATAGTAATACTATCATCAGCACACTCACATGCGCTTATGCTCATACTAGACTCCTCACATATTTTTGTTGAGGCTACTACCTCCACTTTTGCTTTGGCAAACATATTCTTACATCTTGATAAAAAAACCCTTTCAACATAGCTCAGTCAAATATGAGGATGCTAACATCCCTGTGTTTGAGTTGAAACAATCATCTTTGCATTCTCCATATAATCATTCAACTATTCACTGAATAGAATTTTAATTTAGCATAGCTTTACCCATTAGAAGTTTTTCAGACGTCTTTGCTTTCTCGCCATACTTGGTTTGTTTACAGTATTTCCCAATTGACTAAATCATCCCCTCTCACTTTAGCTGAGTGATTTTTGCAGCTTTAAAGGACACATGCAGATTTTATACAATTTTATTACTAATTTAATTTGTTTCCTTTGAACTCATATCTTGTGCACCAAAAATGTTGGTTTTTTCTGATAAAATATCGAATGAAGGAAATTTCCACATCTGCAAGAGTGGGAAACAGAACATAGTGAAAATGTGATATGGTCCCTAGCGTTCAAGGATTTTATGAGAGAAATTCTATGAAAAAAATAAAGGAAAATCATTTGTGGGTATGCAAGAACAGGTAATAAAACACAATGAGGAATGGAAATATACCATATCATTGAAGGATCAAGAGGGGACGCAGGGGGTAGGGTGATCTGTTGAAATCATCAAAAATATACATTTTTATGATATTCAAATTCTTATTAAGTTACTTTGTTTTTGTTTCTTAGTTGAACTTTGCTTTGCAATACTTGCTTTTGGCCATACCTTCATGGAATTTTAAATAGTCCTTTGGAACACTTGTATGATTGATTTATCATTAAACCTTCACGAGACAGCCTCACGGTTATGGTGTTGCTGTCTAAACCTGCATTTCACCTTGTCACGACAATGCTAATTGTCATATAGCTTTTACTTCCCAAATGATAGAAAATTTAAATAGCTACCGAGTATATTATGAACTGGTTGTAGCATGTACTAAAACACCTTAACGGATTAGAAACCTGTTAGACTCAGAGTTATCAATCCCACACAGCGGAGCGGATTGGCCGATCCCAAAAATGGACATCGGGATAGCGGAATGCGGGATAACCGTTATTTGACTATTTTTTGAACAAATTATATGAATAATATCTATAGACTAATTATTACTACAAACTATAAACATATGTTTCTTAAAACTAACATAGTAAAAATAATTTTGAAAACTTACTGTTCTAAAAAAAAATAGTGTAGTTTTATTGAAGAAAGAAAACAAAACCAGAAAGCAGAGTATAAAAAATAAAGAATGGGGGTGCTGAGTTGTGGTGGTGCTGAGTAAAAAACAGTCTAAAACGAGAGAACATCGAAAGAGAGTGTTAGACCTCTTATACAAAATGTGTATAAGAGGGAAAGGGCAGAAATGATTATATTAGTTAGTGGAATTACTCATGGTTATGGGGCAGTTACATTATAGGAGTTATGGGGAAGTTACATCATAGTTATGGGGCAGTAATTACTTAGAGCATCTTTAATGCAGGGTTTTTAATAGTTAAATTTTTTATAGTTAAAATATAATTAAAATAATTAAATTAATGGTAACTTCAACAAAAAAAAATAATTACAATTGAAAAATATAAAATATAGGGTCAAGTTTTAGTTTTTTTATAAGCAACTATCATTAAAGTAAAAACAACTCATCAACTATAAATTTTTTAAATCCTACAAATCACTTTGTACCCACAAAAAATATCTTAGTTTACCCAATTAAGATACTCCCACTAAAGATGCTCTTAGTGTGCCTATTCAGTTTTGGGTAGTGGGAAAATATATTAGGAGAAGAAAGTGAACAAGGAGGGGCATCTCAGAAATTCAAAGTGGAATTTGGTAAGGGAGAGTTCCAAGGCTCTCGAAATCCTTGGCAGAACCGTGTTCTCATACTTTTCCATTTTCTCTGTAGTTTTGTTTTCTTATACAGTCTGAGCATATATCTCTGTAGTTTTGTTTTCTTATACAGTCTGAGCATATATCTCTGTGAGACTGTTTTTCTCAAGAGATAATTCAATAAAAACATTGGTTATTCTATTATTTATCTATTTTGGTACCAGTTCTATCAGTTCTATCAGAGAGAAAGGGAAAAGAAGGAAAAGAAGAACGCGAACCAGTTGCACGTGAAAACGAGAGTGAAGAACTTTTGAGCGCATGATAAGAGAATTTGTACTTAGGGCTTAAGAGGGAAAATGTCACAACAACCTAATAGAATTAGAGTTTGCTCCAACTCAACCCTACAAAACCGGTTGGTAAGGTGAAGGGCGCCACTCTATATAAACCCTTTGTAGATTGTATCTTTAACCAATGTGGCACTTGGGTTCTTCCCAATACACCCCCTCTCGGCCAACACTATTGGGCTTGGTGTGTGGATATAAACGGTGGATGACCTGAATTATCGATATATGAGACTTGTTTTTTTTTCCAATACACCCCATTGCGCCCAACACATTTTGGACTTGGTGTGCATATATAAATGGTGAGTGGCCCAAATTGATAGACTCTGATACCATGATAGAATTAGAGTTTGCCCTAACTCAACCCTACAAAACCGGTTGTTAAGGTGAGGGGCGTCACTCTATATAAATCCTTTGTAGATTGTATCTTTAACCAATGTGGGACTTGCGTTTTTTCCAATACACCCCCTCACGTTCAGCACTATTGGGCTTGGTGCGTGGATATAAACGGTGGGTGACCCGAATTATCGATATGAGACTTGGTTTTTTTTCCAATACAACCCTCAACAATATTTTTTAAAGGGTATTTTAGGTTTTTGCTACTTTTAACACAACAGATTTTGACCCGCGATGGGCCGGGAGGCCGCTTCGCTTCGCGACCCGCGATTGCTCACAAAGTGGCCATGATTCAAACCTGCACCGCTGTGTGGGATTTCATTGCGGCCGGCCTCTGTGCCGGTCCGCTCTCCCGGGATAGCGCTGCCATCCGCCGGTATTAATAACTTTGGTTAGACTTAGATTGATATGACTTTTACAAGCATATGCATGATATGGAGCTGGGTCCACTAGTGGGATAAGGTATGCATGATAAGGAGGTTTGTTCCCTACTATGGGTTTGAAAGGTTATTTGTTTGTTTAAAAATGGTTTTGGTTCATGTCAATGTCCACCCTCGGGCAACAATATATGCTTCTTCTTTTTTTGTACAATATAGATTTTGTGATCTTGTAAACTAATTGTGTATATAATCTTGCATATGCAGTGATCATGCTGGCGAGAAGTCTTTGTTTTCTGAAGACAAAGTTTTTGATGAATCTCATTGGGGGGGAACCTTTGACGCAACTGATGATATTGATTCAGTTTGGGGATTCAGTGCCAGTAGCATCACTAAGGAGGTATGCAAGGTCTCACCTTTAATGTATTGTTTCAGCAAAATTCTTTCTTCTTTTGAAGGACGCATCTGTCTAAACTTCTCCTGCTATATTCTAACTTTCCATCGTCAATGTTAGTGGTTTAATTGCCTCATTTCTCCTGCTATATTCTAACTTCTCATTGCCAATGTTGGTAGTTTAATTACTACATTTCTCCTGCTATATTCTAACTTTTCATGACCAATTTTGGAAACACTTACTGGATAGTCTAGCATGCCTATATATACCAGCATTCTAGGAAATTGCAAAACTAGTACCATTGCTCAATTTGATAAAACTTCGTACATAAAAGTGATAATATGAATAGTATAATACCTTTCCTCAAATTGAAGATAACTAAGATCTCAGCTTTTTACAAATTTTAGTCAAGAAAAAGCTAGTTACAAATAAACCTACACATGACAAAGTAAGAACATAATACTCTAAGATTATAAAACATACAATTTCAATAGGCTTCCCAATAAAGGGCTCTCAAATAAAGTTTGCGAAAAAAGAGCATTGCTAGAGACAACGCTGTGTCAGTGGGTTGGGATGATGCACGTGTAGATGAGTTAGTCAAAACATTCTAGAGCTATGGGTAAAAAGGCAAGGCTGTGCTGATGTTTACTAGGAATAGGTCACCATTCAGAACAGTTAACACCATGGTTGTTTGACTATCAGGTTGATTTATACATTCCTGAGTTTATGGCTCTAGTTATCCAAGTTGGCTTAACTCACGTGCACTAATTTTGAGGTAGTGGATGATTGAACAAGTCTACAGCATAATGGTTATTTTTCCTAAAATGTGTTTTTTATTTTTCTAAAATCCAAAATGCAACAGCTGCATGATAAGAATCTGTACTGCATAAAATGTTAACCTCACACTGACAACACTCAATTCCTCGCACGCACCTTATCCCAATACAAGCTCATCTGCTAAGGAGGTGACCGATGCATTATTTAGTGTCAACTCCACAGCTCCCCACATAAAGTCACAAACCAGAAAATCAGAATAAAGTTGTCATTGCTAGTTACCGATGAACTCAACACGCCAATGTAGTGAATGAACCTAGCTCTGCCGAGTTGAATCCCAGCCCCAACGAGGGAAGCAGTCCCACAATCCTCCGTTTTTAGTAATTTTGAACCATGCTCATCGATTTTGAATTTGTTAAATTGTGTGTGCTACGGCCAAGTATGTATCTATCTTGTGTTTCTTTTATATTTTTGGATCAAGTCAACTCAATAGTTGAGACAATGGAGATTTCCCGAGTTTTGTATCAAGTCAACTCAATAGTTGAGACCACACATCAATACAAAACTTACCATCAGATGTATGCATATTGGGAAAAAGAGATTATTGATGCAAAATGTACACAGCAGTACAAAACTCACCGTCTGAAGTATGCACATAGAGGAAAAAGATTATTGATGCAAAATATACACAGCAAGGCTCAGCTAAACTAAACTCCTCCTAATAAACATTATTTTGTGGCTTGAAACTGAATAAATCACCTCAAAATATGAATTCTGGAGATACCAAAACCTTTGATTATATTTCGTTGCATAGTCAGTTTTCCTCAATTCAACTTTTTAATTTATTATTCCTTCTCTTGAATCATCAATTAGGACTACATCGTCAGTTGAGAATATTCATTGAGGCATTGGCTTTTGGCCCTTAGTGCAAATCTGTTTGTATATTATATCTTCAATAGTTGATACCTCCATTAGTATAAATCCTTCCTTAACTGCATATCCTTTGTAATTTTATTTTATCATATGCTATATGTACTCCACAATCATTAGAGCCCTTATGACTTCTTGTGGTACCTATCATAGGATTTTTCTAGACAGATGAGGATGGTATAGGTCTTTTGCTTTCTTTTGTAAATTACTGTGAAACCTGGCAATTGATATGCAGCTTTCATGTGTCTATGGAGAATATAGCTTGGAGGTTCTGGAGATTTCGATAGTTACACAATACTTAGGACTGATACAATCATGGCTATTTGGTTATTACGAATTTATGGCTTTAATAAGATTTTATATGACTGTTTCGTAGTATCAAAGGGTTAGCTGTCATCCTTGTATGCTCTTGGCAGTCTACTGATTGCTTTCGGACATTTGTTTTTATTTTTTATTACAGGAGAAAGATCTTGATGGAGCTGGAGACAACTATTTCTTTGGTTCTGGTGACCTGGGTCTTAATCCCATTAAAACAGCGTCACCACAGGCTGGCGGTCCTTTCCAGAAGACCAGTGGTTTCAGTTTTGATGATTCTGTTCCAAGCACCCCGCTTTTCAGCTCGGGTAGCTCCCCGCAAAAGCCTAGAGACTGGTTGGAAAACGCCTTTGACTTTTCAAGATTTGATTCATTTAGCACACATGATAGTGCATCTTTACCTGCCCGGGAAGCACCAGTGCGATTTGATTCATTTAGCACACATGATAGTGCATCTTTACCTGCTCGGGAAGCACCAGTACGATTTGATTCTGTCCGCAATAGTGTGGATTATGATCATGGTTTTCCTGCTTTTGATGACTCGGATCCCTTTGGCTCTGAGCCTTTTAGGACTTCATTAGATAGTCAAACTCCTAAAAGAGGATCTGATCATTGGACTTTATCAGAAAGTCAAACTCCTAAAAGAGAATCTGATCATTGGACTTCATCAGAAAATCAAACTCCTAAAAGAGAATCCGATCATTGGAGTGCTTTTTAGCTTTGCAACTCTACCATACATACATGTGTTATTTCTGTCTCCAGACCTTCCGAGATTTGTCTCTGGTGGAGCGAGTTGTGCATCTTTCTGTTTGACACATCTTATTTGTAATGTATTCTTTGTATTTAATCTTGTGTATTCCTTATCCCTCTGTTTTTTTTTGGGGTGGGGCCTGGGTTTGGTTAAACCTAGCAATCCCACTTGCTTTCTTGAATTTGAAGTGAAGGTCTGTTCATATTTTTGGCTTTTCCATTGAGTCCCCATTAAAGTATCTCCACTTGATGAGATTGTGGTATTGATGACTATTTGATTTTAGTTTTGTTTAAACTTTAACAATCAGAATTTCACTATAATTGTTTTTAGTGAGTTTTTCAGTTTGAACTTTATTTGTTTAGTTGCATAACTTCATCTCAACAAGGGTTAGTTTTTCAGGCTGATCTGTTTTTTATTTTACAATTAATGACACGTGACAGAGTTTTGATCCTCAAATATCACATATAATAGATTTGAATCGATGTAGGGTAGAAAGTGGAGCTTTGGAATCACTCTTAAATATTCTATGGAAAAATCCATTGTAAAACAAGGGATGATATTTGAGATAGATTGTAAAATGGTAATTAATGATGTGTACTATGATAAATTAAATAGATTAAGTAGAATTTGAATTGAGCATAGTTACGTATAAGATTTATAGATAAGTATGTTTTTGGTTCTTATAAAATATCAAATTTTATTTTTTGTCTTTATAAAAAAAAAATAGTGTTTTTGTCTTACAAAATAATTACTTTTAAATGATTATTTTGTGTATAAGTTTATAACGTTATAAAAAGTTTTTCGAAAAAAAATTTAAAATTTGATTTATAAGTTGAGATTTTTATTTTTTATATTATTATTTTTTAAATTTTAAAAAAATTATATTTAATTCTTTTTATTTTAAAAAATTAAATATATACCTATAAAAAAATTATTTACAAATTTAAAAATAGTTAAATTGTATTCAAAATTTTAAAAAATAGCAAAAATTAAAATTGAATGCATAAAATTTTTGTAGGAACTAAAATGTATCACCTATAAAAAAACTAAAAATGAAATGTCAAATGTTTATTGGAAAAAAAACATTATAAATGGATTTATATAGTTATTGAATTGTATATTGTGATGTTATCTATAGTGTTTGAGCTTTTAAATTCATTTTATTTGGTGCCAATGATTTTCCTATTGAAACCGTGTGATTGGTACGCTAGAAATAGACGAGAGAAGCAATTTCTTTTGATTGAAACACGAACGAAAAGCTGAAGCAATATTATTACAGATTGATTTTGACAGACCAATTTCCTCTTATTAGTTTTTGGCGAGCAAGAAAAATTTCATAATATTTTTTGTTGGATAAGCTCTTTAGTTTTTGTTGTACCTATGTTTTGAACCTTTTCCATTTTTGTGATTGATGCATTTATTTGGTTATCTAATGTGTGAGGTCTCTTTTGTGAAACATGTTAACCGTGATAGATTATCTACGTGTGAGGTCTGTTGTGCAAAATTGAGAAAGAAAGCGCTGTACCGCAATACTTGATTGTTGGCACCTAACATGCGTGACGTGTATAATCCTCCAAGATTCCACCTCTCTTATTGGCACTAACATGCGTGACGTGTATAATCCTCCAAGATTCTACCTCTCTTATGCATCATGATCATGCCACTAGGAATCAAATTTCGTTTGGGATACATCATGTCACTTTTGAGGTTGATAGCAAGATAGTGGCGGACCACGCCCACATTTATGACCAGACGCAATTTTTTATTTTATATTTCATTTTTTTAAAGTTAAATATCATTGTTTTAATACTTTTTTTTAAACATCTTAACAAAATCATAAAAATATACATCAATCAAACTAATCATAAGTAAACCTCATTAATCACTTAAATTCAATTAAATAGTTTCAGATTTTATTTAAACAAACTTTTTCATAAAATTACATTGATTAACTTTATAAAATACAAAAATAATAATAATAATAATAATTTTTCCCTCACACTTTTAGTACTATGATTGAACAACAAGATTTTTTTTTAAATAAACAACTTTTTAAACAAAATCCCCTTAAATAATCATCATTCTCCGTTAATTTTTAAAGTATCAATGTTTAAAAAAACGGTAATTCAAAGCACTAGCCAATCCAATTAAAGGCTCCACTGAAAAAATAAAAGGATTAGCCAATTGAATTGACGATTATGTACAAGTCATACAAGTCAACGCCAATTTATTTGACTCCTATGTGTTGAATATTTTCTATTTTATTTTATTTTAATATAACTAGTTAATAAATAAAATAAAATAAAATTATTAATATTTAATTTAAATAGGACTACATAAATATTTTTACACTAACGACAACGACTTGTTTGATTGTAGATGTCACAGGTTTTGCTCAAAGCATGAGGTTGGTTTAGATTGTCATCCTTAACATCCGTCTACGCAACTGTTTCACATTGCCTTATGCAAAAAAATAAGTTAATAACATTATTTTCATTTACTTACTTTACTCATTATTATTCCTAAACAATTTATTTTATCTTTTTTGATGTAAGTGATCGACCTATGAATAAATTACAACATATATTTTAGACACTACATCACTCAATATCGAAATCACTTGGGCAACCTAAACACCAAATGATGTATTACTCATTTCATAATAATTTATTTTTATTATTAACCATTTACTATTTTAATTTTTTTTTCTACCGTTTATTTGAAGATCATATATGGGTTTGGAACATTATCATGATATCAATGAAGAAGACGCAATCGTTTGGACTGCAACAACGCAGATCATTAGGCTCACCACTATGGAGATGCATCATAATGACCGTGTGAAACTGCAGTTTCACATGCATCAACAGACCCCAGATCCCCTAAGGTGTCTCAGATAATGACATCAATGTAAAGTTAATGAACAATAGACCTTTGATGTTTGAAAAGACATCACTAAAATTGAGTGTCGTCAATGAATGCATCATCATCAACGAGTTTTAACTGGCGATGTAATGCCAATTGAAACTAAATCAACTCATAATTATATGTATTAGTATATATCGGTTACAATTGAGACTTTCTCTGAAGATAGGTGTTTATACGATCCACACCAAACCACGTAAACACAACAACTCCAACATATAACTCTCAACAAAATTACCAAACCACTTACGCACAACACCTTACCCAACAAAATTATTAACCTACAAATACCCAATAAACATATGTTGTTGTTGAACACAATTAGAGTTATATGTATTATTATTTTATTATGTTTTTGGATAATTGATTTCTCCTTAAATATAAGATTCATTTTCTTGTATTTTATTTTTTATATAACCCACTATATGTATAAGAGATAAACGGGTCTTATTTAATAATAAGATTTATAATTAAATTTTCATCCAGATTATTCAAAGTATTCCTTTCCACTTTTTAACGGTTTCGTTACTTTATTGGTGTCCAATGAACATCAATTAACATAGTATTAGAAGGGACTTTTATGATATTCCCTATATCTTCCATAATAAATACCATCACTCATTTCGAACTCACACGTTACAACTTCAAAACTTGCCAACTTTAAATATTTTTCTATGTGTCAAGAAATTCATTTCTTTCCAAGATCTCCTTTGATAAACATTATCTTCTTCCATCTGCAACTGGATTCGCGACCCTTTCCAATTAGCAAGTCTTAAATTACACATTATCTTTAAATCTATTATGATAATCAAAATAATCAAAAGAATAGGTACAATATGTCGAGCGTGTAACACCCCACTCTACCTCGTACGCAAATTATAAAACATATACAGAAATATTTCATAAAAGTACATCAGAGTTCTCAAAACAAGTAGGATGTCACACTAAGTCACTACATTTTTCAAAATTAAACCAATGATATCTAGCTTTCAATTAAGCAACGGAATAAATTCAATTGTTTAAACATAATTTCCACAACCGGTGGTTATACATCATTAATCCAACAAATAAAAGATACGTAACAATTAATCAGGAAAATAAACAAAATATAACGTAATCCCGTCATCCCATGTTACGTATCAGAGCGACTCCTAGGAATCGATCAAATAGCAACACACTGCAAGTACTATCAGGTACCTGGTCATCTGCACTCCCCAAGGAGCACACACGCAACAAATAGAAAAGGGGTGAGAACTACATTCAATAAATAAGTGGTGAAATACACATGCTAAGGAGTAGTTACACACCACACGTACAATCATACATATACAACGCACATACACATGCCATCTCAATCACTCGACATCGATAGCCCATATCAAATACAAATATGCAATGTGACTCACTAACTCGACACAATGCATGTGGTACCAACACAATCACATACAGTTCATCCTAGAACCCGATTCCCGTTGGAATTTGGATAAGTCGTATACGTTCCTCTAAACTACAACTTATCTCCACAACGACTTCCACATGAAGTCCGTATGAAACTAGGCACCCGTCATGGATTCTCACCCAGCCATCTCCACAAGACACATGACATGAAATGCATGACAACACAATTATGCAATATAATAATTCAAGCATATTTCACGACCATCAATGATCCGCACGGGCCATCTGCTCACCGTAATCCTCTCAGGAATTACCACAATCGCATAAGAATGTCTCATTTCGACAACCATGGCCCATACTCATCAAAACACACCCATAAGGGCACACCCATATAATTCTACATTCTCTCAATTTAATTCATTACTAATATTTCTTAAGTTCATTTTAGTTCTATTAATCCTACCGATTAAACGGAATTGCGTTCCAAGCGGAATTTGGGCAGAAATCACAAAAACTGGGGAAAAGTCCTCCCAGACTATCCATACGCGTACCAACAAGGTCCATACGCATATTGCCTGTTGTCATACGCGTATTAGACCTACCTTATGCGTATGACCAGAGGCCTTCACCTCCCAAAACCTCTC